TTATAAAATTTGCATATCTTTGATTACTAATGAAATTGAATGTTCATATGTTTGTTGATCGTTTATACTTCTTATATTATGAATTTATGCCTATTCATGTAGCTTATCTATTTTTCTATTGGGTTATTACTCTTTTTCTTATTGATTTAAAAAGTACTTTACATATTAAGGTTAACCCTCTATAATAGATCTTGTAAATATTTTCTCTCAGCATTATCTTCGAACTTTATTTTGCTTTCTTTTCTTTGTCATAAAAGTTTCAAAATTATATCTAGTTAAATATATCAATCTTTTCCTTCATGCCATTTACTGTTAACAGTTTGGTGTGTACTTTTCCAGACATTTTCTATGCATATGCAAATATATCTATAAATATATATATAGTTAGATATACAAAGTTTTCCTGCACATTTTAGATGGTATCGTTCACACTATTCAGCAGCTTATTTAACTTACTAGTGTATTTTAGATATTTTCCCATATTAAAATATAAAGATCTAATTCTAACAGAGTATTCCATTATATGAATTCACTAAATTTCATTAAATCACTTTTTTAAGATTTTTTTTTCATTTTCATATGTAAATCTGGAAATTTTTTGGCATATGAAAGAAATGGAGACTGAAGTTTATTCCACATGGTGGGCCAATTGTCTCAGTAACACTTAAAAAATCATCTGTCTTTTCCCTCCTTGTTTGAAATAACATTATTCTGTTATATTAAATATCCCATATTTCTTGAGAACTTGATCATCTATTAAATACACATATGTTAAGAACATGGGTTTCTCTCTAGATTTTCTACTTTGCTTCCTCTAGTTACTTGTTATTTAACCAATGCCAAATTGTTTGAATTATTATAGCTTTATAGTATGTTTTAATATCTTCAAAATCAATAGAATTTCCCTATTTTTCCATACTGCTTCAGCTAATTTATTTTTTTCTCCTATTCTGAGCTTTAGAATTATTCCATGAAGTTCCCAAAACATCTATTTAGGATTTTGAGTGGACTTGTGTTACATTAACTAATTAATTAAAGGATATCAACATATCTGTAAATGAATCTTTCAGTTTAAAAGCATAGAGTGTCTCCATGTCTATTCAAGTTTTCTTTTCATTTACATCAGTAGTGTTTTGGCTTCTTTGTCTAAGTCTTGGATTTTTCATCAAGTCTATTCCTAGATATTTTATATTTTGTATTATAATTGTAAATGGGATTTTTAAAGTGTGTTTTCTGGCCATTATTAATAAGTACTGATATTGTGTGCATTTCATAACAGCTCACTTTACAATATTAGTCTAGCTGTTTCCTGCTGAGTCTTTCGTTTTCTTATGTAGGCAGAGAAAAAAATAATTAATTAATTAAAAGACAGAAAGAGGATGGTTTTATTTCTTTTACAGTATTTATACTTTGTTTCTTTTTACTTTCTAATTACTTTGGCTAGAACCTATTCTTGGGAGTATCAGTTATACAGTTTTTCCTTCTGGGATTCGACTGGAATTGTGCGCGCGCACGCACACACACACACACACACACACCTACACAAACCCCCATACACCCTGGCTCTTTGGGATACGATCCCACATTCTCCCTCATATTTTCTCTCTCTGTTCTAAAATTTTTATTTATTTACTTGAAAAAGAGAGAGAGTACAAGCAGGGGGAGGGACAGAAGGAGAAAGAATCCCAAGCAGATGCCCCGTGAAGCACGGAGCCCAGTGTGGGACTCGATCCCAGAACCCTGAGATCATGACCTGAGCCAAAATCCAGAGTCGGACACTTAACCGACTGAGCCACTGAGGCACCCCCTGCCTGCACATTTTAACACCAAACTCAAGGTCTCCCAAAGTCGTTACTCCTGATACTCATGGAGCTGTCGTTGACCTAGTTGCCCAAGAAAGAATGTCAGGGTCATCCTAGACATCTCCCTCTCCCCATCAGCCCTACCCAGTCATTCCATGCTATTGACTGGACTGTTCAAATGCATAGTCTTTATTACTACTACTTGCATTTTCAAGCCCTTGTGATCCCTCTTCAGGATACCCCAGTTGACTTTTTTTTTTTTTTTTTTTTTTTTTTGCTCTTCTTTTAGGTTTTTACTCAACGTTTATCACGTGCCTTCCCAAAGCACACACTTAGCTCATGTCGGTGGTCCAGTCAAACAATTTCAGTGGGTCCTGTTGCAAAATAAATTCTAAATGGCCTAGAACACTTCATGCTCTCTATCATCTAGTCCCTGTAACCCACCATTCCTCTCTAGCTGCCCCTTGTCCCAGCACACCAAGATTCTTGCCATTCCCTGAACCTCCCCATTCCTTTGCACAGACCCTTCCCTTTGCCTACAGAGTCGCTTTCCTGACCCTGCTCATTCCTCAAGATTAAGTTCAAAAGCAACTCTGTGCAGGATGTCTGGATTCCCAAGGCAGAGAGGTTTGGGCTCTGTCTTCTGTGTCCCCTGAGCACGGTAAATGTTCAGGCAGGCCCGCACTGTTCTACAGTCCTGTCCCCTTCAGATGAAGAGGAGCCCTGGCTCTTCTCTATTTACCCTACTCACGTCTTGCTCTCCCGCTCCCTTCTCATCCTGCGTCCTGACCCGTCTGGGGCCCTGTCCACGTGAAACCCTGCCACCATTCCTTTCACAACCGCACCGCAACACTTGAAAGCGCACAGGTGTGCGATGTCATATTACCTAGGAACCTTACCACAAACCCATGGTATATTCAGTTTCTCGCTTTCCAAAATGACTATTTCACCCTTCTTCTTGTCCCCGAACTCCCTATAATCCATCTTCTCCTAATGACCTTGCTTCTAATTCACGGAGGAAACAGAAGTCCTCAGAAGACAGTCTCCTCACTCCTCACCATTGCATTCTGCATTTCCCTTGCATCTGAGCCTGTATCCTCCACATCTCCCAGGGCCGGTCCCTCCACTTTTGCTCTGGGTCCTGTCCCCGTCCAGCGTTCCAGAGTCTTGGCTCTTGCAACGATCCCTTTTCTCCTCTCTCTCCCTTTCTACCGGATCATTTCCACTGACCCGAAGACATGCCTTACTGTCACCTCTTTCTTAAAAGAATAACTAAAAAAAAAAAAAAAAACCCTTTAAAGATCTCTTGACTCTCCCATCTAGTAACAGCCACTCCAGGCCTCTGACCTCACACGAAGATTTCTTTTATCATCTTTACAGACTATCTCCAATTCACATCTCCCGTCTCCTCTCCACCTATCCCAAGCAAACCTCAGTCCTTTCTACTCCACGGAAACTGGTCTTGCCAAGTTAGCAGTGTCCCCAGCTTGTCCGATCACAGTCATATCTGTGTCCTCATCTCGCTCACCCCTTCAGCAGCATTTGGCATAGTTGACCCCCTCTCCCTTTTCAAAACTCTTTTAGGCTCGGCTTTCATGATACCTACTCTTCAGGTGTTGCCCCACTTTCCTGGCTTCACAGTCTCCTTTGCTAGGTTCTCTTCTCTTCTGAACATTAGCTGTTCTAGAAAAGTCTTTTCTGTTCGTGAATCCTCTTTTTTGCTCCATGTATAATCCATCCAATAAGAATCTCATTAGCCTATGGGTTTAAGGACCATCTCTATGTCAGTGTCTCCAAAACTTAGATACCCGGTCCTGATCTCTCCTCCAGACTCCAGACTCTGACTTGTATACTTTTAGAAGCATTTCTAACTTAATATGCCCAAAACAGAACTCTTAATATCCCCTTTCAAACAGTCTCCTCACCAAGTCTTCTGTGTCTGTAAATGGCACCATTCACCCAGTTGCTCAAGCCAGAAACTCAGGAGACATCCTCAAATTCTCTTTTCCCATCCCCTCAATGTCCTAATGCCCCATCCATCAGCCAATTCCATTGATTCTACCTAAAAATACTTCCCCAGTCCACCTACTTCCTTCTCTCTCTGTTGCTACCATTCGAGTCCAATATGCCACCATCCTTCCCTTTGCTGCTACAGCTGCCTCCTGACTGGCCTCCCAGCTCCCTCTCTCACCTCCTGCTAACCATGCAGTCTCCACCCAACCACCGAAACAGTTTTTGAGAAACAAATCCCAGCATCTCACTCTGCTGGCTAAAACCCTCCATTGGTTCTCCACTGCACTTAGAGTAAAACCCTCCTCCTCACCGTACCGAGGCCTACAAAGCCTTCTGTGGCCTGGCTTCCCCCCGCCCCCACCTCTCAAACCTGGCCTTGTCCATTCTCCCCCTTGCTCTCCCCTAGCCACATGGTATTCTTGCTGTTCCCCAAACCCTTGTTCTTTCCCACCCACAGGCCTTTGGAGTGGCTGTTTCCTCTTTCCAGAATGCTTGCTCCCTCTCACCCCACCCTATTTTGTTTTCATTAGAGTATTGGTCCCAAGTGGACATTTCCCTGTGGCTGGGGTTTGTTTTTTGAGTTTTTTTTTTTTTTTTTTATCTGTGCCTCTTCCCTAGAATGAAAGCTTCTTGAAAGTTAAGGCTCACACTTTTTTGTTCTCTGTTGGATGCCTAGCTCCTAGAACACTTTCCAGCACACAGTAGGTGTTCACTCAGTGCTTGCTGAAGGGATGAATGGATCCTAGTTTTCCTTGCCACTGGGACTGTCCCCGACACAGACTAAATTCTCCTGGGTTTGCCGAATTCATGGATAAGTTGCTCCAACCATACTGTAAACTTCCTGAGAGCAGAAGCCCTGTTTTAACTTTCTGTTTTCCATCACAGCACCCAGCATGATGCTAGGAACTTCCAGATGCTTAGTAAATACGCTTGTTTGATTTCTTCTTCTTCATAAAGAGAAAGCCAGGCTTTTCAGCTGTCTACTTAATAGACTTCATTTCTCTGAGAGTAAACACATGACCCAAGAGGAATGTCACGAGAACAAAGACGGACTGGGTAGGAAGCTGCAGGGGTCGCCAACCATTGTCAGCTGCAGTAGAGATCAAAGGAGAGATGGCACCTTGCGGGTTTCCCGTCAGAATTCTAGCCACGACGCTACATTTCTTTCTGGTGAATGTGTTTCAGGACGCAAACTACATCCTGGTGATGGTAGATCCAGATGCCCCGAGCAGGTCTTCACCCAAAGCTCAGTTCTGGAGACACTGGCTGGTAACTGATATAAAGGTAAGCAGGCCAGCAGGCACTTTCTGATTCCTTTGGGGTTATAGCTAGAGGATGACTGTTCTGTGTGGTTCTCGGATTAGACTCAGGAGGGCTGGGGACCCTGAAGGGCAAGGACTTGCGTGTCAGGTTGTCCTCTGCACCCAGGTGTCACAGGCCCCCAAGTTTTCTAACAATTTCGGAAAACATCCAGGATCAGTGGTGCACAGGTAAATGGGCTCTCGGGATAAACCAGGTGGGAAGAGCCCTGATTTGTCGTGTTTGCTGATTTCTATAATGTAAATACTTCCATCGTGGCCAGTTTTGAGTTCCTGATGATTTAACGATTAACTCACAAATTTTCTGAAAATTTAACAATTGGCTCCAGTGTACCACCTCCAGGGGCCTGGATTCAGAGGCACGGGGGTGATTCTGTGCAGTCTGGGGTGGGGGGTGCAGAGCTGGCTAGGGGGGTCCTGCAGGAGCTCCCCCTCCTAATGGGCTGAGGGGCTTGGGGGAGGCATGGCGATGTCCTTTCCTTTGTACGGAAACAAGTGGCCTCCCCTCCTCTGTGTCCCTCTGCCATCGCATAATTGTAAGGGAACCTCACTGATCCATTCTGGAGTAGGTCTGAGGAACACAGATCGGGTGCAGTGTTAACGGGCATTAGGTGGAGGAAGAAAAAAAGTTTCTCTTCCCAAACAAGTTTTGGAGACTCCTGGTCGCACTGTATTAATCCCATTCCTCACTAAAGGGTTTTTTAGAGCTTTTAATATTTTAACGGGCACTATGTAGTATGCGTTTATTTTCCAACCGCATTTGACTGTTGAATCTGGAGTTCACGAGCTCATGGCCGCACACTCTGGAAAATCCACGCCATCCAGGCATCTGCACCCAGAGAGCTCGTGGATGGCCTTCGCGAGGTGTTCGAAGGCATCAAGCAGTAAGATGGTGGCATCCGGGACTAGAAAGACTAAGTCCGCATCTAGGTCTGGCTGGTCCCCAAATCGGTGATCACCGTTAAGTTGCCCGGAGTCCCTGTGGGCGTTTCATGTTTATCTGTAAGACAGGAACCATGTTACCTCCCCTGTGCGGTTATCATGATACTCCAATGAGAGGGCGTCCCAAGAGCGCTTTGGAAACCATAGAACCACGAGTGTAAGGAGTTCGTGTTTTTCCTCCCACCTTTGTGGGGCTGAGGAAGGGGTATCAGTGTGAACTAGCCATTGGTGCTCCTGAGCAAAGCAGGGGCTCTCACAGCCCCTAGAGTGGGGGGCTTGGGGAGGAAGCTACCCTGTCAACCAGCCCCTGCCCAGGGACCGCAGGCCCTTCACAGGATGCTCAGGTCGACAGCCCATCCTCAGAGGCAGTGCTGGCTATGGACGGCCTTGGAAGGGGCCCCCTCCAGGGAGGCTTCCGGCAGCAGCTTCTTGGACGGTGCCTGAGGGAAAGCAGGGGCATCGCTTCAACACACCCTCCTGAGTCCAAGCCCTCCTCGGCCCTGTGAAGAGCCTTGGAAACACCATAAACATGCAAAGGGGCAGAGCTGGGGGATTTTCATACCATCAGGGCAGGGAGAGGAACCGAGGACACAAAAGGGAAAGATACTGGATCCTGCCCCAGTCTAGAGCCTGGCTCTTTTCTGTACCTGGGATCCCCTGGCAGTCACAAGGGGGGTGGAGCTCTCAAGAAAGGAGTGTTGCTCGGGACGCCCCACACCAGGCCGTCTGTGAGAGGGTTCTACAGGCACATTCTGAGGCAGATTTCAGAAACTGTGGTGGATGGAGTAATTTCAGCATCGAGGGCAGCTTGGGGCCGTGAGGTTGCCTCTCTTCCAAGCCTGAACCCCCCCCAACCCCGCCCATCCCCCCCTCAGCATGCACTTGGGACAGTTCTGTCACACGCACTTTGTGGCACAGACGTGGGTTCTCAGCAGCCCAGCTGAGAAGCGAAGCAGGTGACAGGTGGCAGGTGACAGCTGTCCGGCAAGACTGCTAAGCCTCAGAGCTTAGCAGGGCCACCTGCCCGGGCATGGCCCTCGGCCTTCCCGCTCAGACCGGAGGCGGCTTGGGTTTCAGGCACATTTTCACCCACTTTCCCTGATCTAAGGGTCCAGCAGGAAGCAGCAGCTCCCCTCATCCCCATCCACTCAGCCCGCCCACCAGCTCCCAAATTCCTCCAGCCACGTGGCCAGTATAAAAACCAGGCTCGTTTGGGTCTCAGGCTGTGGACCTCGGCCAAAAAAAAAAAAAAGGAAGGCTCTAATCAACCCCAGAAGCACTTCCTTTGTGTTGGTGTTCACGGCGGCTGACTGGGTCTCAGACATTAGAGCGAGTTCAAATCCGATGGGAAACGTGTTAGAATGCAGATTCCCAGGCACCGCTTCTGTCAGTGTGGGGAGCCTGAGTCCCCAGAAAGGAGTTTAGCTAGCTGAAGGAAGACCACGGAGCTCAGTGTCAGAATGCCTTGGTCACTGCCGTCGTCACCCACCTGTGGAGCAATTTTCAAGTGACAATCGCTTTTGACACTTCCACGATGGCTTTGTGAAATAGGCATTTTGCCCATTTCGTAGGTGGGCAAGCTAAGCTTAGAGGGGTTGGCTGATGCAATCTCTCGGCTAGAGGGTCATAGAGCTGGGTCTTCAGTCCAAATCCCACCAGCTCCAAACTGCAGATCCTTCCTGCCATACCACGTGGCTTGTACGACATCTCTGCCAGCCACTCTGCGGTGGCATGAGGCATCCTACTGTGCCCTCTCTGCCAGATGGGAAACAGAGTCTCTGTGGTTCGCCTGCCTTTCCAGGGCTCTCTTTCTGGTTCCGTCTCACAGATGGGTGCTGCGAGGGAACCTCCCCAGGGGATACACCTGGGAGGCATTTTGAACCCTTGATATGTTATTTTAACCCTTGATATGTTAGGTTAAAAGTCAAGCCTACCTAGTATCATCACCCTCAGCGGTCAGTGGCCTCAACAGTAAGGCACACCGTAAAGTCACAGCCGATGTAGAGTGACGGCAGCCCTGTGATTCACAGTGGCCACAGAGGTGGCCAGCCGAGGTGGAACCCCGGCTGGCCTTGAAATTAGGGACCCAGGTCTAATTGGGTAGTGGGTGCAGCCGCGGCCGTGGGAGCCCCTCAGTAGGGGCGCTTTGGGGGCCGTCTGCACAGGCTTGAAACAGCAGGCAGTTCTGAGAGATACAGGGAACATCTGCAGCCCCTGCCCCAAAGAGAGGCCGACAGCAGTCTACCACAGAATGGGATAAAGCTCTGGAGAGAGGAAACTTGAACAAAATCTAGAGAGACGTCCACAGTAGGAGCCAGGCGTTCTTGGTGCCCTTTGTTCGCCGAATTCAACAAATACGGATTCACTGCCGTTTGCAAGTGTAAACGCAAGGACTCTGGAGCCCGACCACTGGGTTCGAATCTGAACCCACCGGTATGGCTATGTGATCTTGGGGGCCAGATAGCTGAACCTGCAACGCAATACACCCCCTCGAAAAGTGGGGCCGATCAGTAGTCCCTGCCTCACGCCCTTGTTAGGAAGTTCAAATGCGTTCTTTTTAGTAGAGCGCTTGGACCGGTACCCAGAACGCATAGTGAGCTGTGCACAATTGCTGGTCCTAACATTATGCTTGTTGTTCCTAAGTCAGGCACCGCTCTGGCCCCGGGGCTGCAAATGTGCACACAACAGGGCAAATCTTTGCCTTCCAAGGGCTTCTGCTCTAGTGAGGCAGGGGAAGGAGGCTGCAGTGCTGGGCTGGGATTCCAGGGGCACCGGCGGCTCCCAGGGCAGAACTTCCCACAGTGGTGGGTTCCCATTAGCTCATGGGCAGGACAAGGTTTCAGTCCCCAAAGCTGGCCAGACCACGGTAGGCAGGGACTCCAGGGTAAAGCATGCCGTCCTTCTCCAATCCCTCTTTGAAAAATCTCTCATTGAACAAAAGAGATTTCGAACAGGGCATTGACAACATCTCTCTCCCCTCAATGCCCAGTCCTCGGCTTTTTCCTTAAGATGTTTTTCAGTTCTGATTCAATCTAACTAATAATCTTCGTGCTAAAGCCTAATTAAGATATCAATTAATTTGCATCATTCATTTCAGAAGAAAAGCTTATTGGTTCATCTTCTATTTGTCTCTGAAATTAGTGCTCAGAGCTTTTCATGCAGATATTTTCATTAGACATTTTATTGTTAATGGGAATATTGAACACAGGAATATGGTATATTAATACCTTCCACAAAGAATATCATGATTGGTGACAAAGAACACTAAGAACAATTAAGGAGACAAGAGTACCTTTTTTCTTCCAAAAAAGAAAATCTTCCTAGAAACCGTCAATGATTCTAAAATTTGCCCTGAATATCTTTTTTGTTTTAAAAAAGAAAGCGAAATGGCAAGTTCATGTTTCCCTTTCATTCAGTGCCCTCAACCTTTGGCAGCTGTAAGCGCAACCAATTCTGGGTAGAATTAAAAGGACCTCTAAGAGCCCATTATTCTGTCTACTTTTCTTACAAGGGTTGAATTTTTCCATAATGAGAGGTTGTTTTTGAAAGGACCCCTCAGTGTGTTAGGTGAATAAGATAAATGGGCAACCAAATAAACAGATCAAGGATCTTAGCCCCTTGCTTTCCAGTGATGCAGTTGGTACACATCAGGACCCTTTTGCTTGAATGATCGATCCGTCCTGCTCCTGAGTGATCTCAGGAAAGTCACTTGGCCTCTCTGAGCCTGCCACTTCTCCTCTGTAAAAATGACACAAATCCTTACCCTTCAGGGTTGTGACAGGAGAAGGAAATTACATATGCAAAGAGGGGAAGCCTCCCTAGAGAGAGGCTCTATAGAGAATGGCAAATTTATCCTGTTCCTAACCAGTTGAGCAGCAGATACTGTAGAAATTTAAATATACTGTGTGTGTGCACACGCGTGCGTGTGTGTGTGTGTGTGTGTGTGTGTAACACTGGAATATTATAAATATTCTAATATTATGTATATTATGCAATATATATATATATATATATATATATATA